CGTGCCACCGTTACTGACATTTGTTATTTTCGTTTGGCCTTCGGAAATATACAAGAAAGAAATTCTAACAATCATGAAACGACGATGGACATTACCTTGCTAACGTCTTAGAGGGTTATAACTGTCAATTGAAAATAGATTGATCATCTACCTTGCAGAATATACAACAAGTTGAATTTAGTTAAACTAACAAATCTATTAAAAATTCTTGTGCTTTAAGATGAAGAATGAACTGTTATTAAAACTTACTTGCTTTGTTTCATCTTTCTGATCATGACATTTTACCGAAAGTTTTAATTGAAACTAAAGTAATATTCTTATTAAATGGTTCGTCACAGAAGGGTGTAGGTATGGGTGTATGATTAATACAATATCCTTACCCACACACCTCTCGACAGGCCCTTCTTACCTAAGAAAATTTTTTTTCTCTTAATCATATCTTGAGGGTGTGGTGTGTGGGTGTGGGTGTGTGGGTGTGTGGATGTGGGTGTCAATGATATAGAAGACGATGCACCCACACCCTCAATATGTGCTACAGAGCTTTCTATGGTTTGTAACTCAGATAATATGTGACAATAAAACTTTACTATTTAAGTAGAAAATCTTCTATTTTTCTATGAATTTCTCTTTTATTGATTAATCATAGATAAAAGAACAACCTGAAAAGTGACTGTGGGTGCGAATAGAGAATAGTCATCCATAGCCTTAAAATGGGTGAGAGTATTATTCTCATACTTCACTCTCACATTCGCCCTCACACCACATCCACGCTATTGGTAATTTATTTATCGATTCAATAAAGGGAAAAAATGAAGGTGTCACAAATACAATAAGAATATGTAAATACTTACCTTTCTTCCAACATTTTGACTGGAAAAAACCAGTATAAGTGCCCTTTTCTTTTTTTCTGTGTGAAAAATGGTTTTTACCAATTTAAATATTGATTACGAACACATCTAAAAAGATTACTGTTTTATAGTAATAGACTACATTTAAAACATTGAATTTTATTGCTTAATAAATGACAATGAATTGTTCTCAACTGAGCGTCTGGCTGGATGCACATGCTAATGATTATGTTAGCAGTTTTCGTAAAAAACTAACTGATAATAAACATCAATGTGTAAAAATATTTACTGAAATCAATCCATGTATAACATTCATTCAAACACATGTTAACCAAATAATATTTTTCATCTTTTCTGGTTCGTTTGGTTCAGAAGTGATACCATTAATTTATCATTATGATCACATCAGTCAAATATATTTATTTTGTGCTTCAATTGCATCACATACTAGTTGGGCTATAGATTATACAGATAAAATGTTAATGTTCGATCATGAAAATGATTTACTTCGAAGACTTTTTAAAGATATAGAACAATATCTTAAACAAGCTAATCATTGTAAAGATTATGCAGAACTATTTCAACAAGATCAATGTAGTTAAAATAAAAGAATTTTCATTATTAACTTTTTTTTATAGAAATTAACAGTTTATTTTAATCTGACATCTTCACTCATACTAAATTTAATCAACCTTTCTACCTTTTATGAAGATTTGGAAGTTTTACAAAGAAGTAAAGTCGATTAGTGTGTGGGTGTAAGATTTAAGCTACGTCAATCATACGCACTCTGAAACACCCACACCCTATGCGAGTGAATTTCTGTGACTAAAGATACGATATGATCACATTTGTTAGATAAGAAATTGTATATCTGTTGATTTAAAAATATCTGACAGGATTTGTAAAATTCTCCTGGATATTTTTCTCTGAAATATTGATTATTATCTTTATTTAGTCAAGAGTCGTTTTGTTTAGTATCACCCACTGAGTAATCTATAGATGTTGAAAAAACTGATCGTTATATCTGGAATCAATTTATTGAAAATATCTATTGACGGTTTGAACGCATTATATTTTATTGATATTTATTTATTTAAAAATTTCAGTTATTATTCTCGACTAAATAAAGAGACTTAAAGAAAACTGAATAAGTTATTGAAGAATTTGTAAATTAAATCTTTCATTTGATGAAAAATGTTGCAATAGCAGTACACAAATTAAATCCAAGTGCAATAATAGCCAAGATACTTGACACGCCAATGTTGGGGGATACGACAAACACCTTGTTGTTATCAGCAACTAAAATATGTTTACTTTTCATAGCATAACTTAATCCGGTAGCTACACCAATAATTCCGCTAATAAGACATGCAATAATAAGACCTTTAACAACTAAACACATGTATTTCTTCATATTTTCATCAATTAGTATAATCGCTATTAACGATACAATAGATAGTATTGATAGTATACAAGATATTGTTATAAATGCACGTGCGGCCATATTTTCCGCATTAAAATCCGATGATATATTGGAACAAGCTGTCGCACAGAATTTCCACAATCCATATGTCAATGATTGCGATTCAACAGAAACTTTTGACCTAAGAATTAAGAAAAGCAGTATCTTCAAAAGAAGTAAATAAAAGATATTTAAATTCTTAGTAGAATCTGACGATTATTCTCTGTTATATTCGAATTTAAATCAAATCAAAGAAATGTTTATTTTGTTTTTTTGTCTTTGAGATTCTAATCAATAAAAATTAATGAAAATCTAAAAACCAGATAGGTACAACATTTGAGACAATATATAAAATAGCAGTTATAGCTAATAAAGCACTTGCAATATATATTGTTCTTCGATTTTCAAAAGCCATTTATTATGTTTCTTCAAGACAATATCATACAACCTTTTCTATTTCAATCATTCAAATTATCATATTTTATATAAGTCGGTTAATAAATCTTTGTTTTTTTCTCTGTTTTACCTGAGTAAATTTTGATTTGTTGGGCATATTCAAATATTAAGATAGATAGAGTCATTTTTTCCTTTTTGGAATATAGATTTAGCTGTATTCGTCGTGATATTTACTATTTATCTTCTATAACAAAATTAGATGCAGATATCACGGCATATGTTTATGTGACATTTTCTGTATTCTGAATTTTTTATTAGATATTACAACTATTTGCTCTAGTTTATTAATGAAGAATATTTATTTTTTGTAGCTAGTGAAGAATGATATGTAGAAGAAAATTTTTATTGAGTTCTATTTTTATATATTGATATTAGCATATTGAATGGGTTAATTTATTGTTCTTCAAAAAATAAAAGAAAAAAATCTTTACTTTTCTTTTCAAAACATGAATGTCGTCAGATAATGTCATCAGATTCGATAATTCTTTTTTTTACTTCAGAAACAACAGATGCGTTTTGTTATCGTTTATATTCCTCTCTTTACTGATTATAGAGTAATGATTATAGAACAAGGTGTTAATTATCTTACAAATAATCAGTGTATAACAAATGCATTCATTTGTTCTAGATCTACGTAACCGTTAATTTCATAAGCAAACTTTTTAATATTTTTGTCATAATTTTAACTTGTGTTGATTCTATAAAAAGCTGGTTTCAATGCGCATATTCAAATAAACTAGTTTGTAGTTAATCGAACTTTTATTTACTCCACAGGTGTTTGTCTTTATCTTCTGTGCTTATTACGTCAAACATTCAGAGAATGTTTACAATCTATATGAATCAACACACGTCGTTAGAATCATCCTTAAGGTACCTAAGTTCGTTGTGAAGTGAATTATTCATCGCTGTTATATGTTTCGATGTAAGGTCAGAATAGACATCTATTTATTTTCTATCGCTTTACAAATACTTAGATAACAATAAAATATCAAACAGAGTATCATGATAGCGTATGAGCAATGATAGAATTTTCACCAGTAAGAAAATAACTCTGCTAATTGACTCAAATGTTTTGATGCAACATACGATAATTTATTTTACAATTTAATCGTACAAATCTCTTCCACCAAATCTATTGTTCGTCATAATATTAATATTATTAAGAAAAATGTAACACTTGTCACTGCAGTAATCCGGTGATTATTTATTCCTTTTCTAGGATGTTTTTCAATATCTGACCTATAAGAGCTTTTTAAATTGTAGTTATTCCTTTTATTTCAAATATTTCATATTCAATTGAAAATTCATTTTAATTGCAGATTATATAAGAGATGGACAAAATATTTAGGATTTAACTAAGTTAATTAACACCATAAATTTACAAAATTGATTAATCTATGGTCCATAACAAGAAAAGAAAACTGACGATTTCTTCATTAATTTTACATATTTGCATATATATTATTCCGGAATATCTTGTGTAATTGTGAGATGCGTACTCTTAATCATTTACAACCATATCTACATCTCACGAGATCCATGAAATACTGAAATTAAATATAAAATTTGGAAAAAATCGATAATCAAGTCTTAGTTCCTAGAAAACTACAATAGTTAATCCGAAAGTGTTGCTGCATAATTTAAAAACTCTAATTTATAAACTTTTTATGCTTTCTAGGTAAATAAACTCTAACTGTAATATTCTGATCGTAATAAAAAACTATGTTCAAACGCATAATTTTCACAATAAAAGAATATTGATAATATAAAATAGTTTTCAACCATCTTCCGTTGTAATTTAGATGTTTGACGCGTTACAATAATGTATGTTAATCTCGAATGATTCATATAGTTTTAGAAATCAGTTCTTATGACTTAAAGAAAGTTTCATTAAAAAAAGTCACTTTCTTTCTTATAGTTCCATCTGAAATTGGCTGACTCACTCTTGTGAAATAAGTTTGAGCGAGGATGAGGATGTGCTATATGCATCGCAAACGTGCAGGAATATGTTTTTTATCAAAGAAGAAAATGCAGTATCGTCATATTTTTCTTCGTTCTTTACGTACTCATCTGCCGTTTTAGAACGTTCTTATATGCCGATGACGTGGCAAAATAAGTAACCAGAACACACATGTGCAATGTTTTTCTCTTCTCTTTTTTTATATAAATACTGCTGGTTACACATACAACATTTCTATTTTCTTTAACGTATCACATATAATTACATAGCACAAATGTCAACATACAAACTTTATTATTTTAATGTTCGTGGTCGTGGTGAAGTAGCTCGATTAATTTTTGCTGCGGCTGATCAAAAATATGAAGATATTCGTTATGAACGTGAAGAATGGGTATCACATAAAAGTGAAATGCCTTTAGGTCAAATGCCTGTACTTGAATACAATGGTGTGAAATTACCTCAATCAGCAGCTATTAATCGTTTTCTTGCCAATCAATTTCATCTTGCTGGCAAAGACAATTTTGATCAAGCTAAAGTAGATGCTGTTGTAGATACAATCAATGATATGATAAGCAAATATAGACCAATTAGAATGGAACAAGATGAAGCCAAACAAAAAGAACTTACTAAAACATTTCTTGCTGATGAATTACCTAAACATTTACAGAATTTGGAAGGTTTAGGTAAATTATATGGTAGTGGTGGTTCCTTTTTTGTTGGAAATAATTTAACATGGGCAGATTTATACTTCTATGATATAGCACAACATATACTTGAATTGGATGAAAATATATTCAATAATTATCCTTGGTTAAAAGAAAATCGTCAACAAGTCGAAAAACAACCAAAAATTGCTGAATATCTCAAAAATCGACCTAAAACGTCACATTAAAAAAAACAATTATAGATGATTTTTTCAAATATTTTATTCTTATAAAATTCATTAAATAAACTATTGAAGCAATCTTATAATTAATTTCTTTTTTCTAAGATCTTCTATATGCTTGCAGAACACAAATGACGAATATGTCATAATCTCTTTCTGATTTCAACCACATTTATATTCAATCATTTTATTAAAAATATTGTTAGCATCTAATCAAATCAAAAAAAGCTTTTCGAAATACAGTTCCACTACTTAAAGTATAAACATAGAATGGAATTCCATTAGCTAAATAAGTAAGAAGAAGAACAAAATTATAAAGCATATTTTCAATAGCTACACGAAGATTAGATTTGACTTCTTCAGATGTAAATGTTGAATATAATTTTTCGATAGATAATGGAATTGTCAATAGACCAAGAAGAATTACTTGTACAAAAAGCATTACTAACAGATGATGATCAGCTTTATCCGATCGTTTTGTCGATTTTGATTGACTGACAGTTAATACATGTGCCGTTGAATGATAAATACGATTTCGAGAATGACGTACATTTGAAATAGTCAATAAACCAAAGACTGTCATTATTGCTAAAGGTATAAGAATAGCACAAATAGCAAATAACATATCATTTATTAATCGACATGCCATTCCATTACTAAAACATTTGCCTGGAGTATTAATAAGATTTGATTCATAACAATAAAAACATTGGCAATGAATAATAATTGAGAAAAATGTTACTGCAATGATACCACGTCTAGCATTTTTAATTGAACTCAGATGTCGTCGATGAACATCCATAGATGATAAAAGCCATCGATCAATTGTTGCTAACATAATCAACCAAAATGCAATTGCACGAAATGTAAATAAAGTAAAACCACGCATTTTACAAATCCATCGAACTGTATCAGAAAGATCAATTGTTATACTACTTAATATTCGAGGACTGAGTCCAGTAATAAGTGAAATAAGAGCAGCTACTGAAGAATACAAGAATTATATTGCACAGGGATTTGAACGAAGAGTTTTTTTGTAATAACACAAAAATATTCAAAATATTTCCAACACAATCAAAAATGAATATAAACGTAGCAAAATAACGATTCGTTTGTGTAACTTTATTATTGAAAGTTAGTACTTGATCTGCACTCGATGATGATGATGACATTGAATGTGATATATGAAGAATTCAGTACTTTAATATCTACGACTTGCAGATGTGCGCGCCACGGATAGTTAATGGCAATTAATAAAAAAGAATAATATTGCGTGATTTAACGAGTCGGTATCTAAACTTCGCTATCAATCAGAATAACTTCTTTTATGTTAATTTATATGATACAGACAGTAGACTTTGCTTTCACTAGCAATATGGAAGTGTGTTCTTATTCATTTTTTCATTAATAAAGACAAATGTACTAAATCGATGGCACGCATTTGTTATTGAGGTAGTATCATATACAAGATGTCAAGTAAATTCTAGAAGAGATTTTTTGCACTTATAATGATCATAAAAAAAACTTCTTTTTGAATCTGTGTATATTCAATATATAAATACGCAAAATTTATCCATTAATATTTAGTTCTAGCATTGATTAACTATAATTTATAGAGCTTATTAATAGTTATCAACCGAAACAACGAAAAATAGTCAACATTAGAAAAACCGGAATTGATGCACTTGTTGTTCAGTTAGAAAACTGTGATAAAAAATTTAAACGATAAAGATTAAAACTTTTATTGTAGATTAAAAATGAAGTAAAGTTTTTGTGATTAATAATGTTTTCATAAAAAGAATAGAAGAAAAAAATTGAGATTAGGTAATGAAAGTCTTTATTTTTCTGTCCTGTCGTCTTCCAATGATTAGCGAGACCAACACGTTGTTGGTTGATCGTTTATATCCATCCAAAATCGTGTATCATTACGAACATTTCCATATGAATAATAACTCCATCCTCCACTTGGATAGTTATTTCCATGGCTTGCACCCCATTGTGTCCACTGTGCATTAGCATATGTTGCACCATTCATTCCTGGAATATAACGACTATCATGAAATTCAGCTGTAACCCATCCTGGACCAAATGCATCTTCACAGTATGCATCAACATCTCTGATAGTTGAAAATGAAGAAGCTGCAACTTTTGGAGTTGTTGCAATATAACCCATTGTCCAACCACAATAGAACTCTTTTGGCATTGCATGGTCAGTACATGTCATTGTATAGGCTGGACGTGGTGATTTATCGGTTTGTTTACAAAGAACAGGTAATCTTGTATTACAATCTGTATCACCCGAATAAGGATTGCAGCCTTTTGCAGTATCGCATGTAACTAAATCAATGGCCAAATCATTTTGATGAGACACTTTCGCTACAGTCATACCCATTTTACCTAGAAGAGATAGGGATCAAAAGTAATTTATAAGAAATCACTGAGAAAAACTTACCAGATACGACTGAAATAAGTACAATCGAAAAAACCATTAGTGAAGCCAAACAGCTAGTAACAGAAACCATTTTGAATAATTTGAATAACGATGATATTCACTATGCTTGGAGTCGAAGAAACGATACTAGGTTTCGAATGTGATTTGAATAGGTATTCGTAGACTACTTATATACCCTTCCGACTACTTCCGAGGTCTGCACAAATACTATGAGAAAAATCTATCAACCTTATCGTTATATACCTTTCTTTCTATTCTTTGTATTTTTACTTGTCGGAAGAAAGAAAAAGAGTCATTTAACGTATCTAAATGCATATTACTTACTCTAAATCATGAAAGAAACTTATGATATATTAGTTCCGACTTATTTTGATAATAAGTACAAACGAAATTCGGAATTAAAATATCATCACTTTCTTCCATGATTTCGTGTACCTAATATGTATCAAGATACCTCAAATCACTCTCTTGCTTTCTTCCTACTGATAAAAGTGCAGAGAAGAGAAAGAAAAGGTAACTAACGATAAGGTTGACAGATTTTTCTCAAAGTATTTGTACAGAGCTAGGAACTAGTCGGAAGGATATAAGTAGTCTGCGAATACTTATTCAAATCACATTCGAAACTTAATATTGTTTCTTCAACTTCAAGCATAGTGAATATCATCGTTATTCAAATTATTCAAAATGGTTTCTGCTACTAGTTACTTGGCTTCACTAATGGTATTTTCGGTTGTACTTATTTCAATCGTATCTGGTAAGTTCGTCTTGCTGATCTCTAACGACTTGTTCTTAATTTATCATTCTTCTAGGTAAAATGGGTATGACGGTGGCAAAAGTGTCTCATCAAAATGCTTTCGCGATTGACTTAATTCAATGTGATACTACAAAGGGTTGCAATCCATATGCGGGTGACACAGATTGTAATACAAGATTACCTGTTCTTTGTAAACAAACCGATAAATCACCACGTCCAGCCTATGCAATGGAATGTACTACTGATTATGCAATGCCAAAAGAGTTCTATTGTGGTTGGACAATGGGTTACATTGCAACAACTCCAAAAGTTGCAGCTTCTTCATTTTCAACTATCAGAGATGTTGATGCATACTGTGAAGATGCATTTGGTCCAGGATGGGTTACAGCTGAATTTCATGATAGTCGTTATATTCCAGGAATGAACGGTGCAACATATGCTAATGCACAGTGGACACAATGGGGTGCAAGCCATGGAAATAACTATCCAAGTGGAGGATGGCGTTATTATTCATATGGAAATGTTCGTAATGATACACGATTTTGGATGGACATTAACGATCAACCAACAACATGTTGGTCTCGCTAATCATGGGAAGACGACAGGACAGAAAAATAAAGACTTCATTACCTAATCTCAATTTTTTTCTTCTATTCCTTTTATGAAATCATTATTAATCACGACAACTTTACTTCATTTTTAATCTACAATAAAAGTCTTAATCTTTATCATTTAGGTGTTTTATTACTGTATTCTATTTGAACAACAACCGAACTAAACTTTTTTAGAATAAGTCTCTGAGAAAACCAGATACCGGCTTTAGTTTGACATCTCGGATTTCGCTGATTGAGGGTGTTGGTATGTAATGATTTGATCACCCTCATTCATATTCTTTTTATGTTCTGTTTTGTTTTGTATGATGCTATAACATTACCATTCATATTAATTATCTCAAAATTTATGTATTCTAATTCTACACAAAAGATTGAAACTTTGTTAAAAAAAGTATTATATTACAAATATTTGACTTTTCTACATTAAGAAAATTTTTTTTCAAAAATATCATTAATAATTGTTTATCTGTGTTACTTTCATATTACAAAAACGAATTTACTACCAATGCAAGAAAAACTATGGTTTTTAGAAAAGAAAAAATAGATATTTCATTTCATTACGATTCTTTTTATAATTATTATTCGTTTCTTGATACATATTTTATTTTATTTTTTCTGTTCTGTATGTATACGAAGCAAAAACGTGCTTTTATGTACATCAAAAAGTAAATTACAAGTAACCTATTCATTATCGAGCTGTAAAAAAAATCAAATTTTGCATGTCGTTATCACCATCATTTATAAGATTTCTAACAGAAAGAGGATCCAGACGTAGTGATCCTTGCGTTAAAGTATTAATTTGGTGTTCATGTTTTTTTGGTTTATGTGGACTTGTGTTTGGAATCAATGAATATCATCAATCAAAAACATACGTCGAACGTTATTGTCAGATTAAATCCAATCAAGTCGTAGGTCCTTTGAAAAAAAGTCGATGGAAACCAGCATGGAATATTACCATTTTAGATGAAGGAAATGATCGAATAGAATCGAGTTCTACATATTCTCTAAAATGGTGGGCTACAAGTGTTGCACAAGCGAAAAAAGTGAGAATATTTTACATGTTTTAAGTTATTTTCGTTCCTTTTTTCGAATTAGTTAAATCAAATCTATCGATGTTATCGACATCATAATTATCCTTCCCCTGGAACATGGTCTTGGCAATGGAATAAACCTTCGAAATTAAAAGCATATAGTTCTCTTTTTGCTTTTTTTGTCCTTTTTATTGTGGGAAGTGTACTTTTTGTACTTAGAAAATATTATCAACATCAAGAAAGACGAAGACAATAAAGATGAAATATTAATTTCCGATCGATTGATTAACAAGATTGCTTCTTAGATTGAAGTTTGATGTGAAATTTTAGTAGAAAATGAAATCAATATATTTGATTACATAACCTGAGTATTACTTAATCATTTATTATAAAAAAAAATCTTAATTATTCTGCGCTTTTAGAAAATTATATTGACGTATTTATGCATATACAAAATTGTTGAATTTAAGAATATGAATATTTCGTATTACTCATAGGTGATTCATTGTAAAACTTATTAAATAATTTGATATTGATATAAAAATATAGTTAGTTTTCGTAAAGATTGATTGGATATCTTATCACAAAGAAATAATAAATTAATGCGTTGATTGACGAAAAGGGAGATATGTATGCTATTTGAAATTGAGGAGTGGATGTGGTCTATTTATATATCTACACCCACATTCTTTTTTGGTGGTCCTTTATAAGCAACAGTTTCGGTAATGTACGGACTGTTGGTAATTGAAAATGCTCTATGACGAAGCAAATATTTGAAAACAATGTAAAAAGAATGTACTGATTCTGATTAAAAATGCACTAGCAATGCTTTTACTCACTATATTGTTCTGTACCAACAGCAAACAATAAAACTCACAAGAAATGATTCTTATTTTGTAGTTAGATCTGCTGATGTTTGCTGTGAAACGATATAATGCTAGTAAAAATGTTTTTCTTGTAAAGTTTTACTTTACATGACCCAATATGTTGATGATATTCATAACGAAAATAGGTCAAAAGTCCAACGGTCTCAATGTGTACCATATCAAAGTTTCAATTTTTATATGAAACCAATGTAACATGGAATACATGAATGGCATTGGCTTCCGAAAATACTTTTTACTTTTTTTTTCTAACTAAGTAAATATGTAAATAGAATTTCTTTGTCAATGCGATTTCATTCATTTGGAAGCGACACTATAATTGAATTTATGGAGCAAGGAATCTTAATAAACATGACAGATAGAAATGAAATACATGACTACCATTGGCTTCATAAAATATTTTTATTTTTTTTTCTCTAGTAAAATAAATATGTAAATAGAACTTCTTTGTCAGTGTGATTTCATTCATTTGGTCGTTGACAAGAGAAAAGTTGGTACCATCACTACAACTGAATTTATTGATCAAGTGATCTTAATAAACATGACAGATAGAAATATGCAATTCACACGCATCTCCGCGAATTCCTATCGGTCTCGTGTTACCCGCGTACGTCCAAGCGACGTTCCAACAACTTATAGGAGCAGCAACAACAGTAATCCTGCTTTTGCATCGGTAAGTTTATTTATCTGTCTAAAGAAAATTACTTTATCTAACTTTATATCTTATTTTCTAGCCAATAAGCACACATATGAAACGTATGCAGCGTAATAGATCTAGAGACATCGAAGATACACGAAGGGGAACTATGAGAAACTCAAATGTTAAAAAAAGATTCCAAATGTAAGTAGATCAACATATTGAATTATAGTCCTGAAAGACATATCACGGTAAAAAAATTAACGTTATTATATTTAATTCTATTTTTTCGGAATCTTCTTTATTCTGTAACATAATATTGAATATTTGTATGATCATACCGAAGCAAAAGTTTGATGAGAATAGATTTGAATATTTCGCTACGATTAAGAACACTTGTTCTGTTTTGATCTACTTATGAGAGTGATAATTAGTCAGTTGAATGTGATCTTGTCAACTGAATATGTACACTTTATTCATTTTTATTATGATCTTTAATTGTAGGAGATGTTCTTACGGTCAACTTGCGTGTTGCTTCTGCTTGGCGATCACTCTTGCTCTTTTAGTGAGCACAGTCATTGGTACTGTACTTGCTATTGTCTTACGTGAGTATTCTACCTCTTTTTTTTATCGTTTTTATTTGTCTTTATACCATAACAATATGATCGTTAGCACATACGACCACCTTATCAACAACAGTCACGACTGCTACAACAACAACAGCAACAAGTAAGTAAAATTATTATAATGATGAAATTTTTTTTGCAAGATAACTAGTTTCGAATCAGACAATAGGATGACATAGATATGCATATATTCCATCTAATAGAAACTTTTTTTGGTTTCGAATATTGCTCAATTTTAATAATTTACACGTAATAAATTAAAGAATCTGGCGGGCAATCAGATTTGATGCTTTACCTGACTAGAGCAAGTGCATGTCTTAATTTTCAAGTTTATGATTGATCACGTTAGATAAGCCCGTAATCGATCTAAGATTTATCTAATAGATGTGGTTTTAATTAAAAAATATATTTTTTAAACTTGGGGCGCGCCATGAATAAGTCGATCATTTGACCGCGCTTAGTAAGAGAGAAGCGAATTCTGCATTCTTTCATTCAATTATACAAAAATACATCGAGAGTTACCTGAATTCCGAAAAAAATCTTGAAGTTTGATGAAATCCATTGTGATCTTCAGGGTGGGTGTAGTTATAGAATATAGAGTAAGCACCCACACCCATTCGCAGTAAATAATATGTGTGACTGAGAGAATTGAATATGAAGGGCAGAAGAGATGCGAGAGGAAGGTGAATGAAAACAAAAAAAAACATGAGAGATGAAAAGGATGTATCATTACCAATGGGCCGAACATTATGAGTTAACGCTTTCTTCATTAACTATATTTCTCTCGATTCTGTTTGCTTTTTCCTTCTTGGCCATCTTTACAGAAGACGGATCTGTCCAGCCTTATGTTAAACTACTCATCTAGTCATTGGCGAGGGCCAAGAACCACGACACCTGTTAAACTTTTTCTCTTAATACTCTCTAATACATGGTTATTTTTCTAATAATAGCTTCAACATCGACCAGTAAGAAACAAATTTTGAAAATATATATTTATAATTGCTGTGTACAAATATAGCTTCAACCTCGACAACAAGTGTCACTACCAGCACTACTTCAACGTCATCGACTAGTAAGTCAAAACATATTCTCATGATAATTTAGTGTTTGAGATGTAATTAACATTTGACAAGTTTTACAATCCGACAGACATGAAGGCTTTTGAAAGAATAACGTTTCTTTCGATTGTATAAAAACTGTCTTAGATGATAGAATACAAAGATTTAATGTAATATCATCGAAAACTAAAATTCAAATGTTGAGATGAAATCTCTTAGATTAAATTTTATTTTATTAAATATGCACTCTTACAACACTACGTCTTTTTCGATAGGTACAACATCAACAACAAGTACAACGTCATCCAGTAAGCAATGAATTTTGAAAACATATTGACAACTAAAATATGCACTAATCTAGCTTCAACCTCGACAACAAGTACTTCAACAAGCAGTTCGACTTCATCAACAAGTGCCACAACCAGTACAACTTCGACAACGAGTACTTCATCGACCAGTTCAACTTCGTCAACAAGTGCCACAACCAGTACGACCTCGACGACAAGTACTTCAACATCAAGTATGTGTGCAAACATATTTTGAATATATGATTGAAGATCTGCATATAGATCGAAATCGAACTTGATGGGATTTAATGATTTTGTCAAGAGTTATTAGAATATTCCTGAAAGTAGATCTTTTTGAGTTTTTTTAACTTCACGTACGGATAATTAGCACAAGTGCAAGAAAATGCTCAGATATTTAATAAAAAGGAAGCTTACGATAGTACATGGGGAATTTTTTGATAAATCCTTCGGCTAAACATCATATTGCTAGATAAAATGTGACAACAGATAGAGATACGTAGGAATATCATTCTAGCTATCTTTTGATAACATGAAGAAGCTTTCGTAGTCACCCTTTATTCAATAAAGGGTCTGTTTATCCCACCTGACCGGATGAGATGCAAAAAAGAAACAGTGTAAAGTTAATTCAGTTATTCGTTACTAAAAGTACTAGAAAATCTAGTTGACTCATTTTATTAGCAAGAATCCGAGCTGAGAGTCACTCTCTATCGGACCACCTGGGAAACCCTATTGCAGATATGGTTGGTGGTGAATCAGGATACGACTGTAGGTGGATGTGGATGTAAATGAGGCTGAGAATCACAGTTAAAGATCATACCCACACCTTCAACGTTGAGATGAAACTCAATTTCATTATACACTTATTAGAATAATTGTATATGTTTCTCAATAGGTACTACATCATCTACGAGTTCAACATCAAAGACAACGTCGACGACAAGTACTTCAAGTATGAACTTCTGACAAGCAACAAGAATTTGAGGAGAATTGAAAGAGAGTAAAAATTTTTCGGATAAAGTAGAATTTTTTAACATGAAATGTATGCATTAGTTACTGATTCTATTATGATCATATCACAAACATAAAAGCTCTAAGTTCAGTGTAAATACTCAAACAAATGAATGAGTTAAGGCCTGAGATTACTTCACCGGTTTCATAGCTCTGGTAAAACTATTAACTGGTAAATTCAGTAATTGTACAGAATTACATGTTCTGCGTCGAATTCTGGATTTGCTCTGATCAGTATAATTGCTATTTTTTTTCATTCCTCATAGCCAATCTTAAAACATTTCACGCTCACCATTACTCTGAATAAATAGATAATAAATATCTCATCATGAATCATTAGTTATATGTGATGATTCTTGAAGGGTCTGATGTCATAGTTAAATATACAAAGCAGTTCTAAAATAAGTAAACATGAAATTCATAGTCGAAAATTGAATTATGTATTTCATAATAATTCACGAGCTAGCAATCGTTATAATGGTAGACTAGTTTTAGAAAAAAGGCGCCTGAAGAAAATGTTTCTAACTTTTGAATGGAAGATGATCGAGATCTGCAGTTTTCACTTTTCAATAGAATACGACAGGGCATTATTACTATGGAATAACAAAATCCATGAAAGATGCTCCCGAGACATTTGCTCCTCAACAAGATTTGCACTTCTGTGATATTTGCTCCCCAATATCAACTGTCGATCTTGAGGGTGAGGTCGTGGATGTGACTGTTAATATTGATGTGAATGGGTGTGAGGGTGTGGGTGTGTTATGATTATGATACTCATACCACACCCCACATCGCCCACCTACACCACACTCACACCCTCAAAATGGTTTTCTAAAAGTCGATAATCGCTGATTAATTGATATGCATATATTAATTGAACGGATATTTCATCGGTCGCATTTTATAATTGAAAAGAACAAATTTTTTTCGTTGCACTCAAGATTTTCAACCGATAGTTTTTCACCAGTTGCATCGTTAAATTGATCATGATTTGTGAGCAGTATCATAAAGAAAGTTGGCAGAATATCTTTTAAATTAAGCATGAGAGCTAGTCATTTGTTTTCTAAAGAAATATTTGAGACGTATTGGTAATTGATAAACATATATTGAGAAATGCCATTGAAAGCTACAGTCATGATGTCTTACTTCTCTTCCAATAACTTCAGACAAAAAAAAATATTTTGCTTTGAGAACTTAGAAGAATTTTTACTTCTTTCGAAATATATTAGTAAGTTGTTGTGATGTCATTTGACTTACCTCTGTATCGTTTTTCTCTCAAATACATGATCTTTAGTAGTAATTTATCATTTCTTACTTTTTAAGCTTCAACATCAACGACAACAACGACAACAGGTAAGTTTTCGAACGTATGATTATTCTTTTGTATTGAATGTTATTCCACTTTCAATAGCACCAATATGCGGCACTTTTCCTACCAATCCACAAGGACAGATTAAATATTTCGCTAAAAGTGGTTCAAATTTCCCGCTCATGACATATACAAAATACACTTCTAGTTTCACAGCAAGTAGTACCTTAGCAACTCTATCATTTATTATAATGGGTGAGGGTGGAGGAGGCGCCATCCACTACTGGCTAATAGATGATGTAATTGTCAATCATACAAACACAAATGCAAATGTTCTTACTAATGGTAGTTTTGAAACAGGAGATTTAAGTGGTTGGACACAGTATTGTAATACGACTGCCAATTGTGATGCTGCAGGTGGAAAAACAACTGGTAATTATGCGCATACGACAACAAGTTCATGTAATTCAGGAACATACTGCGTTTACGATTCATGTGTAGGTACCGACTATCTAGAACAATCGTTTTCTACTGTAGTTGGAGATTATTATATAATATCATATTATCTGAGAAACGGTAATAATGATGCAGGACCTATAGCAATGTATGTCACATTAACTTAACTGAGATGAGTTTTATTAACGGAGTGACATTGATAAACACCATCTCTTTTCTGCTTTTTTCTCATTTTTATGTTCATGACTTGTGTGATTCCATACTTCTTATAAAAACAAATCTTCCCATTTTTTACAAGACATATCCGCAACAATCGAATATTATGTACCTTATCATTTTCTTTTCTAACATTTGTTCCGTCTATAAATAAATACTAGTATCTTCTTCATTCATACATAATATTTATCTCTTTCTTTTTTTATGTATGTGATTATCTTACGCTTATCCGTTCCTTTTTTTAGTGATGTATAGTGTCTATTTTTTCTTCTTCTCATATATTGATTGATATTCTTGATGTCCTTCTTTTGTATTCATAGGGTGTGGGAGTGAGTGGTTGCGTGTATGAATGTGTATGAGAAGAGAAGACATACCCACCCTCAGACTTAATGATTGATGATGTTGTTATACGTTTATTGCCATATAAATTTACTGTATCATTGATTATCAATGGTTTTCTATTATCGTAATCATAATTCAAATTTCACGGTTAAAAGCATTTTTTATTCTTTAAGAGAACAGAATAATTGATTATAAACCTTATACGTACGATTTTATTAATTCATGAGCAATAATAATCAGATAAAAAGATTTTATTCCGCGAAGAGAATTTTTTGTTTTTTGTAAATATTAATGCTGGAAATACAACAAAAAGAAATAAAACAATGAAACACAAACATGAAGACATACACTTCAATTTTTTAGTTCTATTTTGCAAATTTAAGGTGTCCAATAGAAGAATACAATCAATCAACCATAGATAGTACTTGACCAATTCGTTGTATATAGTGAAATGATTTGTATACATTAAATTTAGAAATATTCATAACTTAGTTAGAAGAAGTAAAATCTTGGAATCTAGAATTAAATCCAATCGGTGTTTAATAACATCCAATTTTGTCAGAATATGTTTACTTCTTAAAATTACTAATTGTATAGAGATGTTAAAGTCAAAATGATTTATTCATCCCTATCAACATTTCGTTTGATCGTATATCAAAAACGTATATTTAACAAAATTAGAAAAGTTGAAATTGTCAGTAATTCTGAATTTAGATCGATTATCAACTTGTGAATTTAATTAATATAACAAAATCACCCCATGTTTACTTGCCTTCCACTCGTAACATACAACCCGTCCATCTCTAATACATAATGAATTTTTCAATCGAACACGCATTCTGTTACACTTTTTTTTCTATTGTCTAGGCCAAATTTTTGATTAAAATAATGAATTTGTTTACGCAAAATATGAAATTTACATTACATGTTTGAAGTCGTTGAAAGGGCTCATTATTGATTATTTTTATTGTATAAAACATACATACATTTGTTTTATTCTATTTAGATTAAAATCAGCTACCAATCTATTGGTATTATACATAATGGCAAGCCGACAATACTCAGACTGGTTATCGGATCCAATATCGACCACACATGGAAGTCAGTCATCAGTCGAACCCATTGTCTGGGCAGATAATGATGATAATGAGGGGTAAGTACAGTATCGATTCCAAGATGTTTATATACTTTTTATTTTAATGGTAGAATTGATCAAAATAAGACATCCATTGCGTGGTGTTTCAAATGCTGTATTATTGGATCATTACTCGCTGGAATAGGTTTAGCTATTGTACTCACATTCTGGTTGACCTCAAAAACAACTGCAACAGAAACATTAAGTATGTCCTAATTAGAACTATTGTTTTCATGTTGTTTCTTTTGATTTTTGACCGCTAAATGGTATGAAAAGATAGCTGAGTACAGTTTTGAGTTGAATAATAATATACCATGAAATACAAATGGTAATTATTGACTTTGCTAGTTAGTTAAAAAATCGTCAGTAATTAGACAAAGAACTATCATGAGTTAATGATCCATTGAAAATATTACATATATTATTCTCCTCGTATTAGATGTGAGTGTAGGTGTTCACTTCATTATCAATCATACTCACGCCCATACCCACCACTCACCCCCTTAAAATTTTCATCTCTTTCAAAATATATTGGTGAGTTGTTGCGATGTCATTCGATTTAGTCTGATACCTTTTTTTTCTCTCAAATATATGATTTCTAATTGTAATTTATTATTGCATGCTTTTGTAGCCTGGATAACAGTAACAACGACAACAGCGACAACAGCAACAACAACAACGTCAACAGCAACGACATCAACAACATCAGAAACAACATCAACAACATCATCAACGTCATCAACATCAACTACATCAACAACATCAACATCAGCAACGTCAACAACATCAACAACGGCAACAACATCGACAACATCAACAACATCATCAACGTCATCAACATCAACTACATCGACAACATCGACAACATCAACAACATCAACAGCAACATCATCAACATCAACAACGACAACAACAACGACAACAACAGGTAAGTTTTCGAACGTATGATTATTCTTTTGTATTGAATGTCATGTTACTCTCAATAGCACCAATATGCGGCACTTTTCCTAGCAATCCACTAGGACAGATTTTGAGTTATTTCACTAGATATGGTTCAAGTTTCCCGCTCATGACATATACAAAATACACTTCTAATTTCACGGCAAGTAGTACCTTAGCAACTCTATCATTTATTATAATGGGTGAGGGTGGAAATGGTGCCGCCCACTACTGGCTATTAGACGACGTAATTGTCAATCATACAAACGCAAATGCAAATGTTCTTACTAATGGTGATTTTGAAACAGGAGATTTAAGTGGTTGGACACAGTATTGTAACACGACTACCAATTGTGATGGTAAATCAGCTGGTAATTATGCACACACGACAACAAGTCCGTGTTATTCAGGATCATACTGTGTTTACGATTCATGTTTAAATACTGACTATCTGGAACAATCGTTTTCTACTGTAGTTGGAGACTATTATATAATATCATATTATCTCAGAAATGGTAATACTGATACAGGACCTATAGAAATGTATGTTACATTAACTTAACTAAGATGAGTTTTATAAACGGAGTGACATTGATAAACACTATCTCTTTTCTGCTTTTTTTGATTTTGATGTTCATGACTTGTGTGATTCCTAACCTTTGATAAAAATAAATGTTCTCATTTTTCATAAGACGTGTGTGTAACAATTCAATGTTATGTATCCTATAATTTTCTTTTCCTCATATTTGTTCTGTCTATAAGCAAATACTAGTATCTTTATCTTCTTCATCCATGAATAGTATTTATATCTTTCTCTCTTTTTATGTAAGTGCGTCGTTATCTTACACTTATCTTTCCTTTTTTTAGTAATATAGTGTCTATTTTTCCTTCTTCCCATATATTGAGTGATATACTTGATGTTCTTCTTTTGTATCCAAATTCTACTTTTTATCGTCATACACGTTTGGCTTTACTCCTTCTATTTATTTATCTTTGTGTTTACTAGATTTTTCTTTAATAAAATAAGATGTAAGAGATGGAAAAAATATTGTAAGGTTACGATATTGGTTATACAAATAAAACACATATTATTCCTTTAATAGTATCTATTATATCAGAAACTGTCATATATCTGTTAACATAGAAAGATGGGGATGAAGATGTAAGAATGAGTTGCGCAAGATCCACACCATCTTGAGAGTGGGTGGGTGTGAGTGTGGGTGTGGGTAACACATATAAATATTATCCACACCCACACACCCACACCCTAATATTGATGGATTAATTAAACTCGGAAGTTGTACAATTGACTGTTGTTATTCCTAGGCTTACTATGGCAGTACTTCTATTTATGAAAAAAGGATTCAGTACTACGATCCAGAACATATCACCACTTCCTGGACTGGAGATGTTTCAATGGCACTCGTTTCGTGATCTTCTATAGATGATCTGTAAATACGTAATATGGTACTCTATCGATTGTTGATCAGACTAACAGATCACTTTCCTACTGAATACTTGTCTCAAATATACAGTCGATGTTGCCCATGTGCGAGTGTAAGTGTATATGGATGACTGTCAGTGTGATGAAGTCTTTTCTTCTTTAAATTAACCGATTTTAAATAAAATAATGTAAGAGTGACTGTTGGTAAGATAAATATAATACTCATAGCCACAGTAGCATTCGATTATGCTCACACCCATACCCACTCACACTTTAGCTTATCGATATTTTGAAAGTGTTGAATTTCATAAATAAATAGAGAAATATTTCTATTTATTGTAATTGCTTAGATGAAAGGATTTATTTGAATAAGAAAAAAAACACGTTCAATATTTTTTTATACATACAACTTTTTTATTTTTCTTGTGTGTAGAATATATATTTTGTTCATTAGTTTTCCTAATGGTGTTATATTACGATATTCACGCATGTACCTTTTCTGTGGTAATATATAAACATGAAATGTTAACATTTGATGTAGAAATATAAATGTTATTAATAAGATTTGTATTTTTGATGATAAAATTTCTTTATCTGACCATTTAAATGTACTGACAATAAAAAAATATGGAATCGTAGAAATAATAACCAAAATAAAACACCTTAGATATTCTTGGTGAGATAATAGTTGTTGAAAATAAGTTGTTTTGCCTTTGAACAAATTCATACGACGTCGAATAGTGTACTTCAAGCTAATTATTGTACTGATCGAATGTATCAAAGATGGTATTAACAGATGAATAAAAGAGCATATGATCGAAACTAAATTCATAGAAAATGCTTTATTTACTATCCATGATGAATAACTTCCAACAACAAATAAAATCACAAGAATAGATGTAATTACAGAATAATAAGTAGGTAATCCTATCATTTTACCGATGTATACGTTGACAAGAGCGATATCAATAGATAATGCAGCCGATAGCCAAATATTAATTGTATTCATAATAATACATAGAAAAATAAATATGTCAGCTAAACTAATATAAACCACAAACTCTTTCATAGTGGAATAAAATATTCCAATTGGTAAAAGAATTGAAATAGTAATACCATTCATTGATAAAATAAGAAAATATATTAAATGTCGTCTATGTTTACTCCTTACATATATATATATAAATGTTTAAAAAGCGAATACATTCTCTATGAAACCAACAAAACACATTATTAATAATGGAGTTGTATATAATACTTTTGAGATATCACTTAATTTATGTATTGAAAATAATGGATGTATATAATTATATAAAAGAGGTATTGTAATATTAGAGCAATTCATCATCAAGAATATCTATGTGTTATTAATAATGAAAGAATAATCATACTTTTACCATTTTATATTAAATCTATGGCATAATCAAAGAATAGCGAATACTTCCTTTGTTTTAATAGCATCGTTCATTTTATTGTCATAATATTTATTCTCTCGGTAATCATCAGAACCAAAAAAGCACGTTTGTCAAATAATATCTAAAATTTTATCAAACATAATTAAGGGTGTGGGTGTTGTTTCTGTTGGGCCCACACCGTTTCAAAATTCTATAATAATAATAATACCAGATAGAAGTTATACAACATTTAAAGCTTTATTACGGACAACATATATGTATTCTGAAACGTTTGTTCGAAACATAAAATATCGTTATTTCAATTAACTACGTATTTTGATCGATAATTGATATTGTAATCCGATTTGATTTATATGAACATAATTTAATGAGTACCACAGATAAACAACGAGTAAGAATTACTAATCCACTATAGAGACTAATGATATTTATTATTCCTTCAGTAACTTGATATTTTTTCATATAATTATATGAACATGACGATGGTGCACATTGATTAAAATAGTTTTCATAAGATTTATTAATTATATATTCTTCAACCATTAGATTATTTAAAACTGATTGAATAGTTGTATTCATTCGATATTGACTTATTTTAAGGAGGTCTTGGAATCTTGGATTACTCTTAATAGATGTTCGGTAACGCTGACGAGTAGTTATTACATTAGTTACTAACGAACCAATATAATGAAACATAATCAAAGTAAAACTGTACGTTTGCATAAATGATGAATAAGTAATGACACACCAACTTCGTTCTTCTATGTTGTCAGTAAACGCATGAAGTTGAATTATTTGAGGAACATAAACAACAAAGTTGCTAAGAAATAAGATTATAATTATTAGCGAAGTATATGACGCAACTAAAAGATATATTCCACAACCAAATTTTTGTGATGCTTGTCGACGACAAACCATTATTGATAAAATACAATTAATGATACCTATAACAAATATTATCATTGTAATAGTAAGACTCATTATTACTGTGATAAATTGTTTAGGTAATATTGTATTACGTTTTAATTCATAACTTAATATTTCATCTAATGTTGAGCCAAGACCTTTGGTATAAAATTGACATTCATCACCAAAGAAATAGGTTGGATCAATAAAACATATCATTACCAATACTGTAGAATTCAATAATTGTTCAGTAGGAATACATTCTTGTGAAGGGCGAATTGATGTTGAGATATTTGTATGTAGAGATTGTTGAAGTACCGCAAGATGAGATGTGAAAAGTAGCAGTATGTTGAAAGAGTGTCAATTTTCGAAGTATAATTGTCTGCATTGGGTGAGATTTATTGGAGAGTGTGAAGAAATAAGCCGCAAGATATGATGAAATACGCACGTTAATTAGAGAAACATTGAGTCTAACCTTAACATATTGATTGGTTGTTTACTGATCCCAAATATTCAGATTGGCGTCGACAGAAATATTTTTCTTTATTTAAGTATTTTACTTAGGCACCATTGCCGCAAGTAATTAAGCAATTGAACGAAGTTTGCATGATATGATTTGATAAAATCAACGAGATAGCTAGTCGATTGAGAAGTAAAAAGAGCGAAGTAATATAAGTCAGACGCAATTCTTCGAAACTTAGATTTTGAGTGGTCGTTCTAAATAGTTTACTGGACGAAAACAGTATGGAATAACTTCATCAATCATATCTAATAATTTAGAATAAGCCGATTTCTCACGGTAAACATGATAATTTAAACAATTATATTGTAAAGAATTGCTGTTAATTGCCTCATTAGTATAGTAATAATTATCCACAGAATTAAAATTATTAGAAGTTGAAAAATTATTTTACCTTAGTTTAATGAACTTGCGTCCATTATCGACCTTTTTTTTATCTTCACTGGTTGTACGATTACAGACTGTCTATAATCCAGAGAAACAAAAAGTTCTATATTTTTAGTGAGAGACATTTTTTTCCTGCTGTGATGTGAATGAACAATTACTGTCATCGACAAACTTGTCTACTAGTAATAAAAAACGTTAAAAAAAGAATAAAACCATGTTCAAACAACTAATGAACGTGTTAAAAAGATAATACTAGTTTCATGATAATATATAGTCACACATGTTAGAGGAAAAAAATCAACATCAATTTAATCATACTCTCTATATTGACACTTTATGCTTTATTGCTAATGTATAGAATAACGATCATATAATCATAATATAACGTTCGTCCAACAAAGAAAACTATACTCTTTCCTGACATCAAACGATATATCGGCATAGAATGTAGTCTGATCTGTTGAGTTGCTGTCGTTTCCATAAAAAAATCATTGAGAGTCTGAGGGTGAGGATTTGGGTGAGTATGGGTGTGGGTTTGGGTGAGGTTGTAGATGTGGGTGAGGGTATGGGTGTGAATGAGGATGTGGGTGAGGGTATGGGTGTGAATGAGGATGTGGGTGTGGGTGTGGATGTTTTACTCTTCTTTTATCCAAAGGGTGTGGGTATATCTTCACTAACACTCATATCCACACCCACCCTCAAGATTGAAATTAATTCAATCATTTGATTTTTTTATTATAAATACATCAGTCTTAAAATCTTAGAATATAACAAACAGATTTTCTCAAATTATATTAGATTATCGTTAACTGTTTCAAATATTAGTTTCTCCATAAAAAAGTTCCATATTCTTTATATTTATTAAAATAATGATAAAAATTGATTAACAGAAAAATATTTAAATCATTAAAGACACATTTATATAGTTTTTCTTCTTGTTCTTCTCCGTTTATAAATATAATAAAACAGGAAATACAAAGTGTAAAAGACATTATATTTTTAAAGGAAATAAACAATGATATAAAATATTTTCTTTTATATTTATATATACTGACAAATAATGATTGATATAGTTTAAGAAAAATTTTCTTGATAAATCGAATTAAATATAATGATAAACAAGAAAATAATCGTGTATACGTATAAATAGGGGTGAGAATTTATTGTTATTGTTATAAATAACAATAACGAAAAAGTTATTGTTACAAATAACAATAACACTTTTTGTTATTAGTTATAAATAACAATAACTTTTTTTTGTTATAGTTATTTATAACAATAACTTTTTTTGTTATTTGTTATAAATAACAGATAAATAACAAATAACTTATATTTTTGAAAAATATTTTTTCTCACCTCATTGTATATTTTAATTGTGTCCGTTATGTAAACTTACATTTTGGAGCGAATTTTCTATATCTCTACTACCGATTTAGATGGTTCAATCAAGATATGAAGCTAGCAGATGTGTCAGAAAAAAAAGTTATTGTTATTTACCTGTTATTTATAACAAATAACTATCATAAAAAAGTTATTGTTATAAATAACAATAACAAAAAATAGTTATTGTTATTTATAACAGTAACAAAAAAAAGTTATTGTTACAAATAACAGTAACAAAAAAACGTTATTGTTACAAATAACAATAACTAAAAAGTTATTGTTATTGTTATTTATAACAACGATATAACAATAACTTCTCACCCCTACGTATAAATACGCAACAAAGAGAATTACATTCACATCTTGATTCTTAAATCCAAAATTTAATTATCATTTTCAGTCTTTTATTTTTTGATTAATTATCAAAGTATTCTGTTTCCTTCTTTTTTTATAATTAAAATAAAAATAATTTGAAAGATTTTAAAGAGTTTTTCTTTTCACTTCATTGCAATACTCATTATTTATTGTTTTGTCATGATTTTCTACTTTTTAAAAACAATTAAATATGCATTTTACTCACTGATTTCAATTATTTTTTTACTCGTTAATTCTTTTTCTTTACAATTTCTCATCGAATGAGAGAGAAAATAAATACTGCTATCATTTGAACTAGTTCACACGGTAGAGCTTTTATTTCTTTACAGATATATTTACAAATGAATCTTCTCTTTATTCACTCTCATACTATCAATAAGTTCTAAGTCATGAATAAGAAAAGTTTACATATTCGATTACTTGAATATATCTATCATTACAATGTTTTCACACCTGATGAGGATGATTATGATGATGATTTAGATGATGACAATGATAAAGTCAGAGATCCTGCACTTACTCTCAAACAACAATTATATACAACTCGATTATATATTCCTCTTTTTATCAGTAAGTTTCATAAATACAACGATTTTCTTGTAATGTTTCTACTACTTTTTAGTCATCCTATACATTCTTACTTTCATTGCTTTTGTCAGTCCACAAGATCGATTGATCACTGTCACCAACATAACTCCAGAACTTTTCAGTCAACTCTCTATCGAACATGCTGATACACTTTCTTGTCCTTGTTCAACCATTGCTGTGCCATATGAAATATTTGTATCAAACACGATCTCTTTTCATCCAGTATGTTCGAGTATCTATGTGAGCAAAGAATGGATTCAAGCACTTTATTTGTCTTATGCCAGTTCACTATTAGTGACAGATTTTCGAACAACTGCTAAATCTCAAGTAAGTCAATATCATCGAACGAAAACAAAACTATTTTTCAATCTATTTAGTTTCAACTTCTTGCTGACTTCTGTTCAATTTGTCAAAAAACAGTTTCTGAATCTCTAACTGATCTGATGAATGAACAACTTGTTACTGTTCAATTACTTTCAGAAGATCAAGTTCGTTCTCAAATATTGGCTAATATTGATCTAATCAAGAGTAGTATACCGGCTCAAATCGAAAGTATAGTGAAATTATTACAAATAACAACTCAATCAAACTCTCTCGTTTCTGCTCTCAGTACCAATATACAAGCTCAGACAGGTTTGACCCTTGCTCAAACGCCATACATTGATCCAATTTCAACACATTTTTATGATGAAAACAAGACTTACCAACTTAATGCCTGGGCTCAAACTTGCAATATAGTAAGTGGAACAGCATTTGCTGGTTTTTATTCACTCTCACCGCTTGACAGTATAAATAATCATCTTCAATGGCCCCTATATTATCCGTACTTAAAGAACAAAATAATCCCTAACGCAACAGTCGATGGATTCTTTAGTGGATGTACTCCACTAGATGGTTTGCTTGTCAGTACATTAGATTGCTTATACAGTAGCACTTGTCTTAAAAACTTTGCCGATTATTTTCCAGATCTCAATCAGGTATAATTCATTCGATCTTTTTAGTCATACTATTAATTAGATTCTACTGTCATTTAGACAAATTCCACATGGTTAAATGGTCTTTCAGCTTCATTTCAAAAAAGAATTCCTGTCAAAGATCTTTTATCTGAATTGTTTGTAGAAGAATGGTTACCTATGATCAATTACCCACAATATTTTACTTCATGTGCTCCAAAAAGATGTACATATACTGAAATTAATCATATGAATCTTTTCTATACTGCTGCTCTTTTACTGGCTCTTTATGGTGGTCTCACCATTCTACTTCGTTTGATTACATCATTTTCAGTTGCTGTTTTCTTCAAAGTCAAACATCGCTCAACTAACAACAATTTTAATCGTGGTAAGTTTTAATAATTACGCAAAAGTGATATAATAGATTAAAATATATTGTATCTATAGGCACACGTACAAGATATTTCAAAAGATCGTTGAATAAGTTGAAACAACTGAATTTGTTCAAATCACTCTCGAAACGAACCGCAGATGACATTAAATTACAACGCATAACTACACGTCTATATTTGGTTTTACTTGCAAGTATGATTGTTTATATCTTATTGATATATGTGTAAGGATGATTATTATATTTTATGTTTGATTCAAGGTTCCATATGTATTTTCCTGCTATATAAATCACTTGATGTACAGACAACTAATATAATTGTATCTAAACCTTCGTTGACAACATACAAACAATTACAAAAATCGTATAACAATTCACTTGAATGTTCTTGTTCAAATATTGCAGTACCATTTGAAAAATTTGTTACATGGTCACCAAGACTTCATCAATTGTGTTCAAGTGATTTTATCACCGAGAACTGGATTACTTTATTATCGTTTACTCAGATAACGGGGCTTTTGGTATGGCCTACAATGGATTGGGATGGTTTCAAAGGTACACATTTTCGTTTTTTATCCACCCTATGTCAATTAGCTAACAAAACTGTAACTGATGCTATTCA